TCCAATCACCCTGTTCAAACAACTGGCCCAACCTGACACACAAACACTTTGATGCCTGACTGATTACTGAATTACTTCTTGTTCTGTCCACCAGCATTCAGCGCGATTACACGCTTTCTTATAATCAGATTATTGTGAATAATAAGATTTCAGTAACTCTGTGATTAAAGCATTCACATGGATTGGGGTAACTTAATTTTCCTACTAACTCTCGTTTCAATGACTTGTTGGTAAATGCTTTAGGATGTGTTGTAGCCTGCATGATACATGTTATTATCCCACAGCTGTGAGGCTCTCTACATCAGTTAACTATGAACATTCTTGGATAATAGAAAGATGAAAGGTCGGTACATGAGACAGGAACACCGCTATCAGCTAATGTTCTCACTTGTAGTTTGACTAAGATAATCGAGTTAAAGTGTTTACACACAGTGAGGTCTCGAAGCCTTTAGACAAAAACAACCACAGTGGATTTAAATCAAACGAGTGAAGTGAAAAGCACAATGTTCAGCTTTAACTCAAGGGGTTTAATAAAAGTATTGCATTACTTGTTTAGGAATTAAAGCCATTTACAGCCATCAGGGAGGGTCTGAGGAGAGGGCATGAACGGCAGGACCAGCTCAATGTTCCCAAGCCAGAGAAAAATGGAGAGCAAAACAAATTCTCAAAGCGCATTTGCACTGTCGAGGTGGAGGGCCTTTCCCCTCCAGAAGTAGACATTAGCACGATGGAAGACCATAGCTGCTGGCTCCGGTGCTGGTAATGTCTGAACCCACTGCTCTCTCTCCTTCTCTGTCTCGCCATCAAGGGACCATCCTGCCATCTGTAACCACTGCTGAACCATATGAAGCTCTTCTACGATTCTACGCTTGATTTATTTTACCAAAATAAAAAAAGAATAAAAAAAGAGGGTAAAGGCTTAGAAAAAGCCTAGCATAGACTCATTGAATGATCAGTTTCAATCACTGAGACTGAATGCCAATTACCTAAATCACACCCAACAACTGGGGGAAGTCACCCACCCACCTCTCATTTCAGGGTATTAACATTATTTCTCATATGAATTTTATAGCCTGTGTCAGTTCACTCTGTTTACTTTGCACTGATCAGGATGTCAGACCGAACCATCTTGAATCAATGCAATACAATTTTTATACTATAATATATTAGCCATTAGAAATGACAGCACCAAAATATTGGCAAATAGCTAATATCAACCAATATATCAGCCCCATCAATCTGTCAGGCTCCAATTAGAATAGCAAATATTTATTTCATAAAGTAGAATAGAATAGAACAGAATAGCCTTTTATTGCCATTGTGCATTTGAAAAGTGGTTTTCATGGGCTTTGTAAGTCCTATTTTTTCTATTATTTCTATATAAGAAGAAAAGATTGTCTGCCATCACTGTTCCTCTATTTTTATGAGATTACTGTAGACCAATGCTCGCTTTCCTACTCCTATATTTCTTTATCTTTTGATAAATCTGCAGCATTAAAAACCACCCTGAATCTTTGCTTGCACTTTAAGCACTGATGCACAATCAATTAACAACATTACTTTTGACACTTCATTTGCTATTCTTCATATTGATTCCTGCAGTATGTCTATGATATATCTGTGTTCTGGTTTAAATAAGAGAAATGGGTCAATCGATTCCTAGGGCTAATTTTAACAACCTGCGCAAGCATGTATTTCATAGGCTGCATAACCTGAGCCTATGCGATCCTGTGAATTAAACCTCTCTCTATCAGGTCTGACTGTTTACAACCCATCGCTTTGTCCTTGTCTCCAGACATGATGTTACTCCAGAGAAAGATATGATGTAACACCCGGTTAACAACCAAACTCGTTACAGCAAGAAGGACAGCAAAACACACACAGACACACTCCCGTAAGACTTTCCTGGCAGTAGATATATGGGCGCTTTGGGTGCGATTGGTTGGTTAACTTGCATGCAGATTCTTTTGTGCCATTGTGTGCGCGCATGCATGTCCGGATGACAAAAGTGTCCTTTATTGCGTCTGGCTCCCTATGAGGGGCGTCACAGGGTCACATCATAACTAAGTTAGTCAAGGTTCAGCAGGGCTGGAGAGCAGGTTGCGGGGTGAGAGCAGGAAGAGGTCCCACTGGGTTAAAGACAGGGTGGAATAGGCATATCGGGTTTGGAGAGGGGGGGTTGGCTGGAATTAGTCCATTCATGCTTGGCTGGACCCTGGGCATGCTAACAGGCTACAGTGCTAATCTAGTTAGAGCTGGAAGCCATGCAGACACAGGGAAAGCGGGGTTGGATGGGAGGGTGAGAGAAAAGATTTCCTGGGGGTGAGGGGGGTCAAGGTCTAGGGCCTCGGCTGTGGAGCTAGATGGCAGGTGGTTGAAGCTGAATAGCAGAAAAGGGGAAAAAATGAGTGGGTCGAGAGGCGAGAAGGCAGATGATGGGGCATGGGTGAAAGTGGGCACACAGAGAGGGCTAGCAAAGGCCAGTTGTATGCGTGGGGGTATCACACTGTTCCTCTACGGTTAACAGATGGAGGGAGGAGAATGAAAGGGGTTGCAGGGTGACCCAGTGATTAGACAGACCCTTATTAAATCACATCAAGGCTCTTTTATCTTGCTTTTCATCTTTCACTTGGTCACTTGGCACTCAAAAATTAATCAATCCAAGGCCCAGGAATGGAAAAGAATGAGGGAAAAATTCTGCTCCGATTATTTACAGTAAAATGTATCTATAGCCGGAGCAGCCTACAGCCCAGACAGAGCAGATATTTCACCAGAGGCTCCCTCAGGCTTCTGACTGAATACTCTTCTTATGCCGTTTCCCCTCTGTAGACCCAGTAACTTCTATACTTTATTTGCTGACTGCAAGGACGTTTACTTTTTATATCAGCTCCACTTCACAAACATAGTAATCTGTCATCCTCCATATTAAACTGATGAGTGCATCAGATTGACTGTGGAATGAGCGGCACCAAACAGCATCAATCCCCCTTGATCGAGTCACCGAGCTTCTAACAGCCTTGGTAAGACTCATTTTTCATAGCCATTCCCACCATCTGATTTCCTACAGAAGGAGTACATAACAAGACCAGGACAGATCAGAGGAAAAGTCCTACAAGTGACTCAAGGCCACAGGAATTTAAACTTCTCTGCTCGCACACAGAGCTAAACCAGTCTGTCTAAAAACTAAAGCTAAACCAAAAACAGAGACTAATAAATATAAAAGAAGCTGTGCAGCAGGTTGGCATGTATATTTGCAATGCATATTTAAAATTCTCTAGTAGCTTTATTCACACTGTGGTAACCACACATCCTCCTACTCGCACCATTCTGATTATTTGAATATTTTAAAAATTAAATCAGCTGTCAACTTTGATCAGCTTTTCTCATTTTTAACATGTATTTGTCATCACTTACTTATATATACAAGGCATGGTGAAGCAGCTTGTATCAAACAACATACATGCTCAACAGTGTTGTTATTAAAAGTATAAAAGACAAACTGGATATAAAGATAATACTGAAGTTGTGCACTGGTATGTAGACTACTGTCTTAATGTTTTACCTCTTTAAACCAAATGTGACCACCTTTGATCACATGGGTACAGCTGGAGAAGTCTCATCTAATCCTAGCACTGCCAAGTTAGCTTGATCAGCATGGTGGATCCATAATTAAATATGATATTAAACAGGACTAAATATGAATGATGGAAAAAAACAGGCTCAACACAAAGTGCAATCTAAATATACATTTGGATTGTCTTGTTCACTGTTTAGTTGCACTAAGACAAAGTTAAAACTACTTGTCACTCAGAAAGCCCCTGAAGGTTCTTATCCAGATCAGATAATATGCTGTTATTATGTTGCCTAGCCTATTGCTAGGCAGTTGCTAAGATGAGTTGTTTTTAGCATTTATGTACTTAAGACACCATATAACAGCATCATATCATTTTTATTTCACAACAATAACATCTCATTTATATACCCAAAACTTCTGGTATGCATGCACTAGTTGATAAAGTTTAATCAGGTAAGTAACCAACCTTGTGTAGATGTCACAAAGGGAAAACTAGGTAAGCTAAACCTATTTGTAATGAATCTGAATGGATGGACTCGCTTTTAGAGCCTGCCTCAAGTGGCCAGTAGAGGAACTGCAAGCTTTGACATCTTGTGGATTGACTTAATTTTGACTTTACCTTCACATCTTCTTTGTCAGTTGGTATCATTGCCATAGCTTGGCTAACTTATAGCAGCAACAGGTTCACTTGGTCAGAATACAAAATTAAATAATGTGAGATGTGGATTTTTTTCCCCAAAGCACTTCACTTATTTTAGAAGCAGAATAATATCCAAAAACAACAGGGGATGATAGGAAAATGATATAACATTTATCAGTCAAGTACCTTAACAGACCTCCCAATCCCAAAGTGTAATTTCAGTGTCAAAAACAACAGGGCTGATGTGTAAATGGGCATTTTCCAATTGTGTTTTTTTTTTAATTAAAATGCAACTCAATCCTCAGCAGTTGTTTTTTGTTTTTCTAAATGAATGCTGCATCGCTGCCTCGGTGGCTCTCAGTTGGTTCTCGTTCTTACACTTTGCTCAGACTAAGTAAAGAACGCTAAGTGAGGACGCCAGGAGAGCAGGTTGCGTCAACGCTGCATCTGTTTTCACACGCCATCAAGTTACAGGCAAAAAGTTTCTGTGTTCGGCTTACATCTGTTCCAGAAATGCACTTTCTGATTCTCTCGCCCTCTCTCACACACACATGCAGTCACACACCTACACACACATACACAGCTGTATCACCATGATACCCCTTCTCACATGCACAAAAAAAATGTGTTGATTGAGTATAGCCTCGGTTGCTCAGGTGTTTAAGAGATTTTTGCAGACTCTTCTCTTACATCTGTGTCAGGAAAAGTGTATTTTCACGAGTTGAGGCTCAACTTGCATAATTAACACGTGCACACGAAAAAGTTACACAGCAGGTAGGGACGTACTGGCTTTGAGGACGGCCTCGTTCACTTCGATCTCTCCTCTGTCTTCATCCTGGTACTGCAGGTGGGGGTAGTAGGTGAAGGGCTCTGGACTCGGGGCAGCACTGGACGAGCTGTTAGACATGCTCTCTCGGGGGCTCTCCGTCCTCACATGCTGGGGTTTGTTAAACACTGCCACCAGCTGGAAGACAAACAAAAAAGTTAAAACTCCATCCTAAATGTTCGAAAATATTAAACATGATATGTACACAAATCTGAAACAAACAAGCTTTTCTTGAGACAAGCGTGACAGGATAAACAATATGAGTCCTGGCATATGAACAAGCTGGAAACACACAGCCAGGTTATATAGCATCTCCACTGTGCCGTGATCACAGGAAGGCTTTTATGTGATTTATCTTGCCGGCAGTGGGGATGCAACCTGCTTCGTTCTGCCAAGTATGCAGATGCGTGTGTGACTGTGTGTGTGTGTCTGAGGAAAGCAAACAGAGCTGGATTCACAGCTCATTCACTCTCAAACCCCTTACAGTGCATAACACACCGGCTGGTGCCTCCGCAGCGACACGATGACTTCTGTATTTTGTGAACAAAGGAGAAAAACTCTGACCGGCCATTTCGTCCAGTTCGGGGGACGTGACACACGGCGAGGCCCGGGGCGAGGTGTGCACGTATGAAATTAGCGCTCAAATGAGATCTGACGTGAGAATGAGAAGCTGTCAAACACAATGACACGGCTGACACAATGAGACGACGGGAAGAGACGGGGGCGGCCAAATGAACAGGGGATGGAGGGCAGGAGAATGACAAACAATCCTAATTGAGACAGGGACATGATGGCAGATAGGGGAGCGAGCGCGTGTTTGTGTGTGTGTGTGCCCGCTGCGATCCGTGCTATTGCACGGATTGGTTTGATAAATGGGCGCGTGGCGGCGTGACGCTCTCATTAGATGGCGGCGGCGAAGGGAAATGACCACTTAATGAAAAGCAATAACCGCGATGGAACGAGGGAAGGAAATAAAACAACAGACGAGTTTAGGGCGTCAATTAACAACAACAACAATAACCAAACAGACCCT